TCAGAAGTACAATTTCAAATAAGAAAAGTTGAAGCCTTCTTTAAATTATGCTGGATCTGATTTGTCATTGTGTAATTCTCGTTCTGAGTTTTTATGAATTAGTCCAATTGAATTAGGGAAACAGAGATTTCAATGAGTGTATGAAGTAGACTGAAATAATGAGATTTTGTATTTTTCCAGAATTAAATTCTGAGAGAGCGTTGTTTTAAGTTTAGATATGGTACCTAAAAGATAATTTTTGTTGTTATGGTGTAGACTTAGGAAAAAATAAAATGTGTTTTGATAACTATTTGTAACTTTATCAAAAATACTTAATCAGTTTCAAGTAATTTAATGAAGGTCAGAAGACTGAATAGAATATTCTGCATTAAATGCAATATAGAGCATAGAGAGGATGTGACATTATGAAATTTCTCCATTTGCAATCATTTTGAGAAAGATGATCTGGGTAGGAGGCTGTTTGAGGAAATGACTGACCTTGGTGCTTATCAAAGAACATGCTATTGGTTAATCACACAACAGTGTTAAAAACAAATTGCAATTAGAGTTCTCTGAAAGAATACCACATTATTTCAACAAGGTAACAATGGTCTAAAGACAGATTTGAAATCCTTTCCTGTGTTAGAATTTTAACACAGTCCTGAGGACCGCAAAATGTCAGGCCATTCTGAAATGCTTCTGAGGTCTCCAAAGCTGCCTAGAGTCCTAGGAACGCGCCAAGCAGGTTCAGATGGAATCTAAGGGGAGCAGCTCCTATTCTTCTCAGAAACCAAGACTTTTTTTTTTTTTTTATGAGAAGTTTACCGATGCAGCAGTACAATGAGGTAACATAGGATGAATTAGTTGTCTGGTCTTGCAGTCTCAGACTGCAAGTTAATTTTCCTGCCAGCGTGTTTCTTCTGGCAGCCAGGAGGGACAGCCCTGTCCTGGGGTGCATCAGGCACAGCATCACCAGTTGGTCGAGGGAGGGGATTGTCCTGCTGTGCTCTGCACTGCAGTGGCCTCACCTCCAGTGCTGGGGGCAGTTTGGGGCACCACAATTGTAATTTTGTACAAGATTGTACAATTGTAATTTTGTACAAGATTCCCAAGCAGCAGAGAAGTTGCCTCGGGAAATAAGCTGCTGTTTGGGTAACATTCGAGGAGAGCTCCAACTCCAGGAGCACTGAATACCAGCACCTGCTGTGCAGCTGGCAGCAGGAAGCAATTAGGCCAGACTTTCAATAACTTCATGGTACGTAGAGCTAGGTAGAGGAACTAGAGCTTCACGAGTCAAGGAAATGCAGGTGTTTTCTGTGGGGAGGGTCACAACAGAGCTGGGAGGGTAAGAAAGGGGAGCAGAGACAGCATAAGAAAAATCACTGCAAAATGATCCTGCCAATATATGTAAATAAAATCAGTTGAAGAAGATGATTGTTTAGAGTAACTTTCTCAGAAATTTCCATGTCTAAATTTCTCATTAAAAAAGAGTAATATTATATAACCAATTAAAATATACTTTTAAATGCTTGAGTTAATAAAGTTTTATGTTTCTGTACCTTAATCTCTAAAAGGAATGAGTCTGTAAATATTAGAGTTCCACAATATTAGCAGGAACTGTCAAGGGCTTAAAGAAAAGTCTTCAGCAGTAAATATGATGTGAAAATAAAAATTCAAACTGATTACATAGCAGATACTTCTTACATAGCAGAACACATAGGTCAACACTTCCAACTTACTTATCATATCCTCTTTATGTATCTAAATATTGTCTCTCCAAAGAAGAGAAATATTGATTTCCTTGATAGCAGAGGTGAAAACCTAATCCCACCTACACTGGTGACATCATACCTCAGCTTCCAAGAAACAAAACTATATTATGTGTCCTCCTGATCAACATCAGAGATTGAACCCCTGAAAGACTTACACTTGATTAAATGGCTTTTATTCTATTCTTACAAGTGAAATCCAAGAACCTGCTGCATGATAGATGCTCTGATATAGACCTTTTTCTTCCTATTAGAAAAAAATGTTTAAAATATTATAAAGGAAATAACCTACTTTCAGAAGGAATTAAAAATACCTTTTATCTATTATAAGTGGCTGAATCTCTTTACCATTGTCTGTGTATAAATCCCTTGCATTACTTGGCACTGGAGCAGGTTTCCCAAAGAAGTTGTGGATGCCCCATCCCTGCAGGTGTTGGAGCCCGTGCTGGATGGAGTTCTGAGCTACCTGGTCCTGTGGAAGGTATCCCTTCCCATGATAAGGGGATTAGAGCTAGATGGTCTTTAGAGCTGTTTCAAACCCAAACTATTCTGTGATTCTATGATTACTGCTGTGTATAAATCCCTTGAATCTGCACAAAATAATTTTGAAAAGCTTGTAATTCCAACACCTAAGATTAAATGTCAACCTAAAATTTTAATAAAATTTTCAGGTTAGTCTTCTTTTTTCATATGCATCTATAAATTTAATGATACAGGGCTGATGACATGTCCTAGAGAATACTGCTGTCCTGTGTCAAAATGAATAGCCATCTAGACCAACACTGTGTCTCTAATGATGACAAGTATTGGATACACAGCAAAACATTTTCAAAAATCCAAGGAAGACAAAGTCTCTCCCAAGTTTTCTGTCCCACATTATGCCAAGCAAACAGAAATTTTTTTATAATCAATATTGGGTTAAAAGCACAGTGTTGATTAGCCATTGATGGTCCTGTCTCCTGTGACTTTTTCCTGTTCTTTCTGGAATTTGCTTTTAGCTCTCACAGGATTATGTGACAATGTGCCACAATATTGTAAATATAATATTTGTAATAATTACCTACAATTAATTGCTATGATGTATATATATATATATAGTATATATAATTATTATATATTGTAAATTTTTATCATTAATATTTATAAACTGCTACTGTAATTTCCTATTCATTGTCTTTATGCTATTTATGTTTCAGTGACCAGAGTAACATATACTGCTGTAACTATTTATTTCTTACAAAACAGTTTTGCAAAACATCATCCATTATCCCTTTTCCAAGCTGGAAAATTGTCATTTGTTTATTATCTTCTTATTTGGAAGGGTTCCAAACCCCTGGCCACCCATGGCCTTTCCTACTTGTGCTTTCTGCTATGGTAAGGCCAACACTGTATATATTGTTTGAGGAGCGGCCACAGTTTGTTTTTACATGTTGGCATTGTTCTTGATCTTCTTCTCTCTTGATGTATATGCATGATTTTTTTGTTTGTTGGTTTATTTTCCCTTTTTCCCTTTGCCAAACTAAGGATTCTGTTTCTCATTTAGCTCTAATCTTAAAACCCGTAATTTTTTTTCTTAAAAAGAATTTCTTGGAAGGAATTTATGTTCCTTATGTCACTCAGAATGAACTATTTAATCCATTGTGTCACTACTATTCTATCCATTCTATCTCTATTAGTGATAGATGAGAAGTCAACACCATAAAACTTGTCTCTGCCTGTCCTTAGTATCAGACACAGGAGTCAGGCTCAGAAAATGAACCAGACCCTATTTTCTCTAATATTCTTTCCCTGTTAACTATGATTTGGAAAATCAAGAAACAAATTGTGTTTGACTCAATATGTTTGGCACTCTGGGCCCATAAGCACATCAGGAAAAATAAAGATGTGTGTGATTTCTAGAAGGTTCAGTGAAACTGGTCTGGAAATATAAAATACTGGAATGAAAGTATTCAATTTCTTAATGAAACTTTGCATACCATCAAAGTATTTACTTTAAGGTATTCCTTTTTCAACTTCAAGCTCTAAGAAATTATCCAGAAATTGTCATGTTGATGTATGTTCTAAGTTTTGCTAAGAATGTGATATGTCCCTTCCTGAAGCATGTCAGTGAAGGTGTGAAACAATTCTGTGGGCTTTAAGGATGTATCCACAAAACTTTTCACATAACCAGTGTTCTGTTTTTAGATGACTTTGAAAAAGCTGTAAGTGTAGTTTTATTAATTCTACTTTTGTTTTTGGTTTTTGCATGGAATAAACACAAACTTTACTAATTTATTTTAAAATCAATATCATATAGAGAGCAAATTGCTTTTATGGCTTACTTTACGGTGTGATGGCTCAAGCAGTATTATTGCAGTAAATGCAGAAATGTTAGCACTGTTTAAATCAAAAGTGAGCAATATAAGTTGCTTATGGACAGCAAGCTCAGTGTTATAGGAAATAAAAACGCATTGATAAAGTACTCGTCGCCTAATAATTTTCTGCAGTTTGTTCAAAATTAGATTTAGAGGTGTCGGCTAGTAGATGGGCAATGCTTTCTTAATCTGCATGATTTTAAATTTTACACAAAAGCTGTTATTTATCAATACAGCTAGAAACAGTGATATTGCCCACTGTTCAATAAAAATAATGATGCCCGTCTCCTTTAAGGTTATTCCTTGTACATGTTGTGGTTTGAAAAATTGTTTTTTATTGTTTTGAGTCAGTGATCACAGAGTGCTTTCTAGGCTTACCAAGGGTAATGGCTAGGAGAGTGTCTCTCTGTAAAGGCAACATATTAATACCTAAATGTATTTACATAACAGTCCTCCAACAAGTAGAATTTTGGAATTCTAATCAATTGTGAATAAAGGGTACCCCATAGATTTAATGCTTCAGCAACATACAGAATTTAGTGGACACAGGTCATCGCTGATTCTTGCTGTGAGAGGAGTGGGAGGTAATAAAGAAAGGTGATATTTTTCTGGGTATTGTCTGCACCTCTCTTTATTCCATGCACTTACTCCCCATAAGTAAGTCGAGGAATTTGGATTCATCAGCCTCTCAAGGCATGCTGAGATATGACCAGAAAAAAGATAGGAAAGTCTTCATTATACAGTAGTATCCTTTGAGGATATATGCCTTAGGCTTTGATTATCAAGGAGAAAATTCCATGTTCTCCTAACGTCTTTCTTCTTCCTTTAATCTGCTCACCACAGCAAATCCTCCTGTCTGTCCAAAGCCCAGCTGTATCCAGTCTGGCACAGGGCTGAAGGCAGCAGTCTGCTGCAGTGACAATGTGTGCTGCAGAGCAGGGCAGTTTGTGTGTTAACACAGAGCACAGTTCTGTCTTTCACAGCACTCAGGTGAGGTGAGGATGGTGCTGCTCCTGTCCCGTTTGCTGCTGACAGAACCAGCAGGAGCAGATATGGCTCTCAGGGTTCAGAGCCCCTTTCCACCATTTGTCTTGGTTACATCTGCACTGCCCTACATATGGTAAGCCCCTCTGCAGAATTCACCTGAACTACTCACAGTAGTCAGGCTTTTACAGGCTCTTGTTTATTGTGTTAAACATGGCTTGTAAAATGAAGTATGGAGCATTAATTAAAAAGATTTGGATTCATGAGGCATCATAATGGAGTTCAAGGTACAGCTATCACAGATGTCCAAAGTTATATTTAAAAAATAACGATTTTTAAAAAAGATTCCTTGATGTCCATTTGTTTTAGCATGTCTAAATGAATAATGGAAATAATTACCTTCAAATACATTATCTTCATGCCTCACTGTACTTAAACAGATGCTTGATCTTAGCATAGGACTAGTTTTGTTCACTCTAAAGGGACTAAGTTCTTGCTTAGCTTTAAGCACATTTAAACATCTTTTTATGCAGGGGGTGATATTTCAAAAAAATATATCAGCTTCTTTGCATAAAATAAATGTTAAAATATCATATAATGTATAATTTATGCCAACCAATTAGCAAGTTAAAAATTCAGTATGAAAAAAGGTGTATCATTAGACCGTGCATTTCTTGCTGCAAGAAATTTTTTAAAAATGTGTTTAACTATCTGGAGGTGTAATTTTATATTCCTAAGCAAGATTTTGTCCAGAGGATTGTTATGGGCTTGAGAAACTTCGTTCTTTGCAGCTTGACTCAGAGAGTTCTTCAGTGGCATGAACAACTTGTAGTTAAATAAAATTGTGAGTGTGTATCAGAAAGTCAAGTTATTCCCCTAAGAAATAGTTTTTTATTCTTCATATGGATAAGGTAGAATTAACATTCTGTAAGACTTACATTTTGTGTATTGATATCTGGTAAAAAAATGATACAATCAATGGATGAAAAAGAAATGGACATCTCAGGAGTCATAGAAGGATGCCAAGATCAAGGAATAGGAAGAAGCCAGACAGTAAGAGAGCATATGTGTAGCAACATATGTCTTGTAATCTACCAGTGATAGCACTTGACTTGAAATTGGACATAGCTGAATTAGATCTTAAAGATCAGCTAGTTTTAATGTGCTGTCATTTTGCACAATTCATTAACTAACTGATATTGGCATTTTGGCAAGTAATTAGTACTGAATTTCAAATACAAGAGTTTAAGTATTAGGATTTCATTCTTATGGATATGATGGCATAGTTATGAAATGTTATCTCTGCTATTAATTCCTCTAAATCTGACATCAGAAAAAAATGTGTTTTATAGAAAATGTGGGCAGGGATGCACACTGCTTTGTATTTCTCACTCTTGTGTAATTCAGTTAAGAACTGAAAAAAAGAGTTTTCAGATAAGTCCCTGGTCTGGGGTGTGCCTTTTTGAAGAAAATCCTGCTGGAGTGTTGTAAGTTCCATTGTAATGAGCTGTTTCTGGTTGAAAAAAATGAAAAGAGGGAACCAATTTTTAGAGATTCTGAATAGATTGGTGGTGAACATGAATCGATAATTAAAGTACCTCCTATTTAGAATTCTAAGTAATATTTTTGACTGCCTGAGCAGGAATATGAGAGCATATTAAGTTTTGAGAAGTTAAGAAAGAAAAATAGTTAAAGAAAGAGTTGTGTCTTCAAGGTCCTAATCCAGCAAAATTTGTACATAAATAATAAGCACTAAACAATTCCTTTATCTTCATCCAGTGCAACCCTTCAGACTTTGAACAAAGCCACGATGTCAGTGAAATGTAAGCATGCATTCAGAATAAATATTTATGAAATAATTTCAAATATTCAGTAATGTTAATCCCAGATTATAAAACAGACTGACCATAAATATATATGACTTCTGTCACTCAATTCCTCCAAGCCCTCCACAAAGAGAAAAAAAAGAAAAAAAAGATAAAATTCACTTTTGTTATATTCTAATTTATAGCCTCTTTATAGCCTTGAACATCCCCTTTATTCACAGACCTTCTGAAACTTTATTCCCAGAGATGTTAGACTGGAAATATGGAAGCAACTTGTGGTATCAAAGAGATGTAGTCCTTCCTAAAATGGCAGCTCTTCAGTTTTCAGAGCAAGATATGGGAAGCACAGGCAAAGGGTCATCAAATGAAAACTTGCTGACCTGATGGCTGGCTCCTTATATCTCTTTTTAGGTTGAGGCTGAGGTTGCTTCACAGTCTTGACCAGATTCTGCATACTCAATTGTTTTGTATTAATCTATTCAGTAATCACAGATGTTGCTAGCTTTAACAAGAAATAAAGTTTGTGGGTCAAGTTTTTCTTTCCTGATGAAGCATAAAAATAATTATTAACTTTGAAAATAATTTTCTTTGTGGCATTTGTTTTAGTATTTAATGGAACTGTTGACTTTTAAACCTCAGCCAGCTCCTTCCTACATCTCCTAAATTCCTGTTGTTAGCTTAGGTACCTTTTGTTATTTCCTGCAACATATTTGCCGAAACAGCCTTATCTTGCTCTTGTATGATTATTTCAAAATCATCTAATGTGCCTTGAGTTAAGTCAATGAGAGATGTTCTTTCTGTGAAACAAGTCATCCATGAAATGAGGTCAGCAGTCCTTCTTCCTGAATCTCCCTTATATTCCTTCATAAATTTGTCATGTCATCATAACTCCCATTTAAATCAGAAAAAGAGGCAGAGGAGAAATGGAAGACAGATTATTCTATAAATTTTGAGTATTCTATTTGGTCCCTTTTTATGACATTGCACCTACAACACTCTTGTTATTGGAGAAGATTTAATGCTCCTTCAGAGTGCTTGGTTTGGTGGTTGACAGTCATCAGAGACTCTTTCTGGAGCTGCTCCAATAACATGTGCCTGCTCTTTATTATTGGTAGGACATGGAGATTTTAAGCCCTGATTGGCTGAATATGACATGATTTGGGAGTAAAAACATGCATTCTTCCCTTTCAATGTCAGCGTTTCAAGTCTGGAATATCACAAGTTTAATTTCCCTTCCATCAAACATGGATAAAAGACCTAAGCTAAGGACAATAACCTGATGTTGAGAGGATGAATTTCTGGTATGTAGAATGACTGCCATAAACTTAGAGACTTTGCTAGGTCTGAGACAGACTGACTAGCCTATTAAAATCTCCAAGATTAAAAGTACATGTCCTCAGTCATAGTAAAAGTAAATAATGAAGTCCTTTGTGTTGTGATTTGATTTTTGGATTTGAAGATAACTTCTAAAAAGAACTCCACTTTACCTGGATTAGTACCTATGGTGTCAATCTTCTGAAAGAACTCTAAACTATAATTGAAGTTTCTATCTTCTGTCCTTTTCTACTTATTCCATAAGAGATGCTGAGAAAGATATATTTTCTTGTTTCAAAGTTCAGCTATTCTTTCCTTGATCAGATTGTTTTTCTCCTGCTTCATTCCCCTGCCCCTGACTCCAACTCGTAATAGGTGTTATTATATTTCAGTATCCTAAGTTTATGTTTCATGCTGAGAGAAAATAATACTCTTGATTAAAAAGTAAACTACATGTAGTGTAATATTTAAAGTAGTAGATTTCAGTCATCTTTGATTATGCTTCCTCAAGCATATCTTTATCTACAAACTGTTTAAAATTCACAAAATGCGCAAAAAATTTTGTTTGACCGTTCTGCTATTCTTGTTACTCTATTGAATTGAGCCTGTCTCATGGTTTATGCGTATTCTGTTTTCTGGCTGGAAAAGGGAAAGCTATTCTCATCTTTTATGCTACATGCTAGTATAATGTAGATAATAAATCATGTAAAACTTCAAGCATTTCTTTCATGAAAGGCAAAAAAAGTTTTTCTGAAAAAAAAACCCCACACCAAAGCAAGAGCAGAGAGAAATAATTAAACTATTTTTTATTACTTGTACATGTTTCAAATCCAATTTATTTCAAAATCTGCATGTTGCTAAATAACAAGCAATGGTACTACATGCCACATTAAGGATTTAAGGAATTCATTAGAATGATTTAAACTTTTTTTGGGCAAAAGTCAAAAGAACTGGCAAAATATCAGAGCTGAGAATAACACCCAGGCTATTGCTGTGCCAGTTGCTGCACTTGCTACAACAGACCTAAATGGGTTATTCTTAAGCTTCTAACATGAAAGTATATTTAGCATTTTAAAAATACTTTTCTTTCATTTTGAGGCAGTTTTGTAAGAAGTGCTATGGAAATCTAAGGCACAGAAAAATCTTTTAAATCATCAATGCTTGAACATAAGCAATGAAAGCAGGGTTTAAATTGTCTCGCAGACAAATAATACTTCCTGTTGAGCTGACCCATTCCGTGACACTATTTAAGTGAATTTTTCTTGCTGTTTATGATCTCTTATTTGCTCTGTTACACTTCAAAGCTGTGTTCTATAATTTCAGACAGCTTCTGGAACTTTCATCTTCAGGACCTTGATGCTTTACTTAATTAAGTGATGTACAGGCTTCAAGATATGGAGTTTGGACATAAAGGATTATGTTAAATGACATAGAGCTGATCTGATCTGAGGTTCCATATGATGTGGTTAGTCCTATTTTGATCTCAATTAAATGCAGCTAAACAATGATCTGCCCCTAAGTACCAAATGGAGATACCTTTTGTCTAATTCTCTCCACATATAGGGGATTATTTTTTAATTAAAGCAGAAATTTTACAGTAATCAATTTAAACTATTTGACTATTATCTATATTCTAAATAGATAAAAAATTTACTTTGAATAAACAATACATTCTATATGCATATGTTAAAATATATATGTAAAAGAATACTATCATCATGGAGAAAGAAAAAAAAAGTAAAAATTTCTATTTTTCCACTTTCAAACCAAACCAGAAGCATGCTTGTTTGAAAAAAAAAAAAAAAAATCATAGTCATAATATATAGAGAAACAATAATCTACCTAAATATATTTCTAATCCATTTCACATATCAAGATCACATAGATAGTCTTTTCAAGAGCTGCTTTCACAAAAGGTGTATCTCCTATCTGCCTGAATATGTTGATAAGACACACAGCAAATACTAACAGTGATGGGAAAGAAAAGCTAAAATCTACCGTGGTCTGTATGCTCACTGAAACTTGTGTAGTCTCAATCTATGTGTCACTGTCACCACTGAAATATATATATTTCCTCTGATAATTGGTCCTAAAATGTTAAACGTGACTGTAACCTGTGTGTGTTAGAGACTATTGTGAACCTATTCAAAAGACGGTTTTCAGAATCTCCCTTAGTGGTTCAGAAGATCATTTTAAAGTAAGAGTGGTAATGCTACCTGAAAATAGAAATTTTTACCCAGTGTGATATTAATATCTGTTGGCACTAATTTATATAATGAATCTGGTTGAAAAGTAAGGAAAATGATGAATTACTAAAAAACGCAATTAAGAAATGTTAAAATATAGCTAAGCACCAAGTTGCAACACAAAAATGAAGACTATATGTTAGCATTAAGGAGATTTGTTTTCTCTTGTCAAAAATCATCAGAACATATTCAGCTGGCTTTGATGTGAAACTGAATCTCTCCATATTGTCTTCTAGGAACTGGGGATCAAGTGGCCCAAGATGTGGGCTACCCTCTTCAGCTGGATTGCCTGTAAATCTGCAATGGGTAAAAAATGCTCACTCTAGGTATAAAAGACTCTTGGGCACATGGTGTGACTCTTGGGGATGGTGCTGTGAGGGCTGGGAGTTGATGATCCTTGTGGGTCTCTTCCAGCTCAGTTTGTTATGTAATTCTGTGAATATCAGCACAAAGCTTGACATAAATTTCCTTCCCTACAAAGACCACACTTGTATAGTTTGGGCAAAAAGATGCTTCCTTTCTGATTCTGATCATGTTGAAGTATGTACAGTAAAGTTAGTTAACATCTCGTGCTTGTCAAGAACAGTACGATTTCAGTACATACTTGGTACCCTAGGAACCTTAAAAAAAAAAAAAAAAAAAAAGAAAAAAAGGAAAAGATAAGAACTGTCCTTCAGATTAATAAGAAGACTGGTGTTCTTTTAAAGATCAAAAATTGATACATGCTATATTTCGGCACTATGAAATTTCAGTGTATGCATCCAATTCTGTCTGCCTGTGATCCTGAATTCCTTGTGTGGGTCAAATTTTATTTTAACCACCAAACAGTTACTTGTCAAACCCTGTAAAGTTCACCAGTTCCCTAAAAAAGTCTTTAGAATCTTGAGTTGTAGAAGTATTTCAGAGACATAATTTCTTCTCTCTCCTTCATTATTTCATCCTTTGGATGGGACAAGTAATGATTAGTTAGTTAATATTCATAAAATATTTGGCATGTATAATAAGTTGATTTGCCAGGCTTTGTTTAGGTAGCAGATTGAATGATAAGGTGCATTCATGGAAGCTACCCTACTGGAGACTTAGTGGAACATCTTATATGCTGACATTTATGTAGGGGAAAAATACATATGTGGAAGAAATACAACTGCCTTCAACAGAAAGCTATTTATCCCCCTCTTGTAATGCAAAATAATAGAAGATAGAAGGATGGCTGACTGAGGAAGAAATTGTCAGCCAGTTAGGGAAGGTGAATGAAAGCTAAAAAGAATCAGTGGGAAAATTAATATTATATTTTAAATTCAATCCAGCATCTGTTCCTGTTGAAACTGGTTAAGGCTCTGGAAGAGGCTGCTGGCTGGGCTGGCAACTCTAACTAACCCAGCATTACCAGAGGACTGTTCTCTGATGGATACATCTGCTTAGATCAAGAGGTTGAAAGGGGCTCAATTTGTAACCGGTGTGTTGGAAAGTCAGGTTCAACAAGATTTCCTCTGTGTGTGTGCATGTGTGTGTATGGAACAAGACAGGAAAATTTTCTTTCAGTATATAGTGAAAGGAAGATGATTAATGATTTAGGATTCTTTTCACACTGCAGTAAAAATTAATTAAAGATGTGCTGCCTTTAAGCAATTCTATGCTTACAATGATAAATATGGAAATGTGCTGCATTTTGCTGAATAAAACCCACTGTCTTTACAACACACAGAAAAGAATTGTATCCACATCCTCTTTTATGTAAACACTGTGAAATTCAATTGTTAAGGGTTCAGCTGAATGTCTCTCCATGATTAAAGAAAAGCAATACTGGTGGTAGCATCTTGAATAGCAAATACTTTTTCTCACTTAAGAAAGAATTGGAAAGAAAAGATTTTTGTCTTCTGTGGACATAAGGGCAAGTGAAGGGAAGAGGCAGGATCAATAAATGCTTTCAGTAGCTAAATATATTACAATTATGCTGAATGGGGGGAGAAATATTTTTGGTATTGTTTATTAAACTGAATTGTGTTAGATGTGAGCTCTGAATCTATTATCACAAATAGGTCCCCAATCCCTTACCCCTTCTATTCTTACAAAATGAAGCTACCAGAGTAATATTCCTTTCTATTGACACTGAGACATAATTCCTCTTTTCAAATCCCAATGGCTGTCTCTCTATTACTATATTAAATAAAACCTCTTGTTCTCAAACTTCCACATAACTTTGAACATAACTGCAGCTTTATTTTCCTCTAGTCCATTTCCTTTTTCCTTCCTCTAGTTGCCATTTTGAGGGTGTTGGGAGCATTCCTGGTCTTTTTGCTTCCTCCCTGCCTCCTGCACAGCAGCTGCACAAGCCTGTCCTAGAGACTGTGTAGGATAGCCCCAGCAGCCTCTTAGATCAACCTCTGCAATGCTGCCAGAAGGGACTTGTTCAAAAAGTGCCTTTCATCTGCTTTCTGCTTGCTCACCTGTCCTTCAGGCTTGTAAAGCCTGCTGCAGCTTACAGTGATTATACAGCAAACCAAGGTTAGAAAAAAAATATTTAGCAAATCCTATTCATTAGGAACCTGTGTGTGATCTAGCTATTCTTATAGAAAAATGCTTTAATATTGCTGCTGATTTACTGTTAAGTGAGTATGTGCAGGTCTCTGTATGACACATCAACTAGAGAATTTAATTGGTCAGATGAGAATACAAATATTCACAGGAATATTTCTTGTTCCCTTTGGAATCTGTGGATAAAGGGGAAAAATGGAAACTGAGAAACTGAGAGCTAAGCATGTAACTGCTTTCTAGAGATAAAGCAGAATTATTTGCAGAGTTTGAAGTAGCAGCAGTGGGTGGGCAGTAGCTTCTGTGCCCCCCTTCAGCCATGTCTGTGTTTTCTCTTTTGAAAGCATTATCCTTATGTCCTTTATGTGTTGACCAGTGTGTGAAAAGAGACTTGCACGTCTCAGTGCCAAGGCACTGTAACTACATTGGTATCAGTGGGATTACAAACTGAAGGGTCATCCCAATCTGTCCATTTAGGAATTAAGACATAGCTAAGATGCAGAGAGAAGGATATACTGGTTTCATGAAAATTCAGCTAAACACAGATATATTTTTTGGCATGAAATAAAATTTTCTTGTAATATGGATAAAGATAATATAGAACTAAAAGTTCTAGGAAACTGACAGATGACTTTTTAGCACCTCTGAGGATGAATGTTTTGATGTAGGCGTAATGTGCTAATGAATTAGCCTTTCAAGTACAAATGGAGCAAATATGCCTCATTCTAGTCCTAGAGCATGAAAAGTGTTTGCTCAAACCTAAAAATGATCATATGCTTCAGCAAACCATGACATGAGTGGAAATTTCCACTTGGTCAATAGCAAGTAGGTTTTTTTGGTACAGGCTTTAGAAGTGCAGTAAGTAAAATTAATGTAATCTTGTGTAGTTTAGGATAATATTTTACCTATGTTTCAATCAGTGTTTCTGAGGCTCGGATAGAAGAATTAAGTAAGCTAGAAAGAGATGAAAACATGAGTTCTCTGAGCTAGGTTACAGGAGGCGTATGACCAAACATATTTGAGAAGGCGTGTGCCCTTGGGATATATTTCTGTTTGCCAGCAGATTTTCCCTCTTCTCTTGCAGTGGAACCAGGTCTGTCCTTGAAAAATTCTCTTAAAAATCTTAGAAGTCAAGTAAAAACCCAGTGGAGGAAGACTTCAAATCTGCTTAATTCTGCAGACAGAAATATTAAATAAAAATAGGAAAGATTTTCTGACCACAAGTGAAAAACAGCCGGGAATATAGGTTGCCACAAAGCCATTTTCAGTGAGGAAGGTTAGAGATGCTTGCTCCAGCAGCCACCATCCTCCATTAGTGCCTGTAGCTACACCAGCCTGTGGGTCATGTTTTAACTAGAGGTTTTTCTATGCCTGCTTTATAGTTTGCAGTCCATTTAGTTCTGTCTGTGCCTTTGCAAGGGCCTGATTAAAACCAGAACACTGGAATGATGTATGTTAAAAAAAAACCTCCTCTTAAAAAGGGAGAAAGAGTGAGAGGTGTTATTGGATATAACTGTTTATTCTGGCAAGGGAACTGTGAATTGTCTTAAATGGCCAGCAGCAGCTCAGCCTCTCCAAGTCAGGGGAGTGAGGGAGTGTTTGTACTTACAGGCAGTAATTACAGCTGCTGCTCATTCCCTACTCTAGAGAAATTAAGCTGCTCCAGATTTGAGCAGTACAAAGTGCTATGTCTCAGTGCCTGTTGACTTTTATTTTTCTTCCTTCCCTCCTGCAGCACCTCCCTCCTTTGTGCTGCGTCAGCGCAAGTCTTTGTTCATGTTAGGTGGATTGGGAATTAGGGAATTAATCTGACTAAAAAAACACAGCAAACCCGATTACTTACTTCTATGCCTAAAACCCCTCTGATGTGAGTAATGAGGACTAAGTGTACAGAACGAAATTACTGTAGGATTCCTTTAAGTACTGGAAAAACTTGGGCATCTTATGTGTGCCTAACAGACAACCTTATTCTATGCTCACAGAAATAATGGAGTTACAGAAAAGGTGGTGTAAAAAAGCATGACTATCCATCAATTCCATCCTTTCTAGTAGGCAGGCTGTCACAAAACATTAATAAAATCTCATTGTTACTCAGCTTTAAACTGTCAACATCAGCAGTGCTGTGCCATAACTAAGTACAAATCTTATTAGGAAAAAAGCATTACCTTTTAGATTTTCCTCTAAAGAAGAAATATCTCACTGTTGCATTCATTGCTAAACAGAAACTCTATTATTTCAGTAAACAGTTTATAAACATTAAAAGAAACTGAGTGAGATTTATGGGATTTAAACCATAGTTTCATTATTTGTTAACAGGCTTTAGCTCCTGCATGGTACTTCAAACATCCCTCTTGAATACACTTTTCTGAGTTTTGTGTCTTGAAAGACTGAAAAAAAAAATATCTTTCTTACCTGAGGTGGATTTTCTCAGAAAATCAGCAAGAAGACCTGATGTCAATTACAGGTTTAAGCAGCTGTACAAACATCACTGAATATGCAAAAATGCATCTTCAATGAATACTTTCTAGTTAGACTATTATTTCTCTCATTAATATTTTAAAGTTTTTTTTTTTTTAATTAAAATTAATTTAAGAGACCTGCTAAGAAAAAATTAGTTATAACTTAATTTCCCTTTGACTGGTCTTATAATGCATTGCATTAAGCAAGAAATTATTGTATAGTGTATGATTGTATGATTTGTATGACAAAGTATGATGTCTGCTGATGCCAATACATATACAAATGGGCTGAAAGGTTAATACATCATAATTGTGCCTTTGCAGTGACAAGCAAAATTTGTAACTGGCTTCTTTATATTTACAACAAAATATTTATCTTTTCAATGGACAGGAATACCCACAAATGTTTATTGATTTTATTGACAGATTAACAACTTATTTTAAAAATGCATGAACCTTATATATCATCCATTATTTTAATATTTTACTCTTTATGGGGATGGGATAAGAGAAGTCAATTGTAATTTGATTGAATAAATGTCATGCAAGAAGTTTCATAGAATAACAATCTTGCAAAGAAATGCTCTAGCAGGGGTTTAGTGTGCTGTGTCCTCTAAGAACTATTTGGTAGTTCTAGGATGCACATGAGTATGTCTGTAGAGGTAAAGATGACAAATTCACTGACCTCTATGCTCTAAAGATGAAGGCTCGACTATCATGATAAAAAGGAATGTTTAGTGGCAGGAACAGGAAAGAAAGGAAAGTTGCACTTTTCTGAGAAGCTGAAATTCAGAGGCTGATAAGATCTGAATGTTGTGAAGGCTGTAAAATCACTGGGGATATGGGAGAATATGGATATGGAAGTATGTTTTAGTAGCTGCCAAACCTGTGGTGTAGCTAGATCAGTGTATAAACTAAATTGAAACAATGCCACAGCAATGCCCTGTCAAAATTCCACCATCAAGCAAAAATGCTGTACTAAATGAGGCAAAAATGAAGTAGATTAGATGCTTTCAACAGCTTCTGAGCCAGCTGGTGGCATTACCAGGATGGAGGTTTGCACAGTGTCTAGCCAGTCATTCATATCAGCCATTGCTTTGCAGAGATATTCTTATTTTTTTACTCATATTATAACTACACAAAAAAAGCTGCACTTTCAGCCAATGAGCAAAGAGTGTATCAATAGGAAATTAGTAGTGGACTTCTGCATGGTTCAGCAAGGTGATTACAAACTGAATTTTTTGTCTGTAGTTTTTCGAGTGCGGGAAAAAAAAATCTTGGCTAGAATGATTACAGTCAGGAGAAACCAATTAATTAGATTTGTGTCCCGTGGAATGTCTCAGGTGTATTAATCTCTATGTAAATTCTGTTTTCAAGTAGTCAGAAAAAGCCTCTTTACAGCCATTCCTCCCTAAAAAATGGTAAATAAAAAGTGGAGGCTGTTGGTAGATTCATGTTTGAGATATTTTTCATCATTCAAAGATAATCAAATATTCTAAGAAAAAGAAGATATTCTATGAAAATGTAAAATGAAGTGATAACCCAACTTTCTCCCCTGCTGCTGAGTATTTTGTGTGTTATCTGTGGCTGTAGTGCTCTTAAAACAAAGCAAGGACATTATTCATTCAGAATCTGTAGTATTAAGGTTGTGAAGTCAAGCACTCATAAGATAAGAAGTGCCAGTTTAGGTTCCCATCTGCATCTTATTTTGTCCCTACCTAGCTGTTTATGTTGCTAGCTGTTTTTTGAAAAATTCAAATTCCATTTCTTGTTACATTATTTTGGCATATTTAAACACCTCTGGTTTTTTAACTTTGCCTACCCAGCCAAACGATTTAAAAGTCTGTAATTTCTGTAAAAATATTCCTGATGCACTGGCAGGATATTTGTAAAGCATGTCCTGGAATTGCTTTCACAACTGTATCAGGTCTCCCTATTGCTGAGCAAGGTGCCACGGCAGGTCTGTCTTTACTGACATAATCCCTTCTAGAGTACCTGAGCCACCTCCTTCATCCCTGTCCTACCTATCATTCATTCTTGCTTTATCCAAGGTGTATTAACCACACTCAAAGTGCAGCCTTTCTATAATGCTGGGTCTTTTCAGGCTGCTCTGTACTTCATGCAGTAGCAAAGGGTGTTTGAGAAAGGGCTTTTATGTGTGGTAGAGATGGTGCTGACTGCCTTGTACCCTGTGAAGCTGAGAGATGTGCCAATGACAGGAGTAGGGTTAGGGTGAGAGAAGAATGAAAACGTCACCATTTCTGCAAGTGTGGCAGAACTGCAGGGCAGGGCAATCTGGATGGCAACAAGGACAGAACAAAACACTTCAGGTTTTATGGGTCACCAAACTATGAAGGAGGTGGGGGGTACAACAACATGCTTCACTGTTACACAGACAAAATCCCAGCAAATAACTTCATTTTGGTGTTCTTATCTTGCAATCTGTTGGCAAAATATAGCTCTCCTCTACTTAAAATTTTCTCCTACAGTAACATATATGGCTCATGAACTTTTATGTTGTCATCTGAACAAAGACATAGAAATAGAGAATTATGAAGTTTAAACTGAATTGTCAAGGTGAACAGACTTTACCTACAAGATGTTTCTTGCTTGGTATTCCTGACCATTAACCTGAGAAATCTGGGTCCTTGACTCTGGCTGACACAGAGCATAGGGTAACTTTAAGGTTGGCCCTAGTTATTGATGCAAATGTAACCTATATGCTGAAAAAGGTGGATAATGTTTTCTGTGGTTCCTATATTGTATTACACTGAACCTCAAACTCAAAATATGAATGCACTTAAATTTCAGTGAAGAAAATGGGTAAGAATGTGTCATGTCACTACAGAATTATTGGTTTGAGCTCAGTAAACTTCAAGCTTTGTGAAGTTTCTTGGAGAAACGAGCAACTGAACATACTTCAGGACAACAAAAGCCAAGAACTGCTTAGAAACTAATAGAAATAGCTCAAATGAAGCACACAGTTCTCCAAAATTCAGCGAGTCTGGTTAGCTCATTGTCTTTGAATAATTTTAGAGAAATAAGTCTACCACAGTGTTACCCAGGCAATTAGTAGTTAAACTACTGAAGACAGAGACTTGTACAGGAATGATATGGAAGTGAGGGATCAGCTAAAGCAGAGATGATAATGGATTTTGTTAAAGCAGAAATAATAATGAAATTCCTCCAAGAACAGTCTTGCAACTAATGTAATATAAAAATTTCATTAATAATCTCAACATAAATTTGAATTTGAGTACAGAGAAAAGTCTCAAATGACTCGTCTTTGGGGCATGGGTCAGTTTCACTCTGGATAGTCATAGGTGCCTAAACCAGTAGGTTAGATAAAGAAGTGGAGAGAAAAAGTCATCTCCCAAGGCTGGCTCCTGGCACCTGGGTAAGCTTCCTGCTCTGAATTGCTCTTTTAAGTACAGAGAGGGAGTCAGGACGCAGCAGGAGGCCTATCTGCTTGCTGTGGGGAGTAATGACATTGTTTATTACACACGGTTGATAACCCCACATTCAGGCCTGTTCTAGTTCTTGTTCACAACGTTCAAACAGAGCTTGAACATTGACTGTGAAACCTGCAAACCCCCTCTGGAGACACTACTTGAGTCCATAGATAATTTAAATGTACATGAAAGGACTTGCCTAAAGCCAGTGTATTTCAAGTACTCTACTTCTACATCTTTAAACGATGCTTTTGCAGTAAGTTTCCCTTTGTTGTCACAAAATACATTTGTAGGACAGTATCTAATGTTCAATCTCGCCAACATTCACCTGCTGCTTGACAGGGTGCCATGTACCTGCTTAAGCACTAACCCTTTCCCCCACAAATTAACCAAATTAAAGAGATACTGCTCTCAGCTTCTCAACTTCGATGCTCCTTTTTCAAAACCTGTGTTTAAAAAAAAACCAAACCAACTGCCCTCCCCCAGCTTTTAAAAATCTTGCTGAAAATCAAGAATAAAATACTTGTGGCAATACAAGAGGCACTGAGGATTAATAAAAGGTAGCTGAAATTATTTTGTCTCTTACTGTATTGGTTTCTAACTACCTCTCCAGCTCCTGGCTGCTGCCCGTGTCACTGCTTGTACCCTCCAGGGCTGGGTGTGTGGGGCAGGAGTCAGTGTGGGGAGGATGGTTTCATTTTGGTTTCTCTCTGCCTGGGTAATTTCTGTGGTTTGATTTACATTTTGTGGCCACATGTGGCAGTACAGTTTGAAACTCAGTTTAAGAAAGGTGGCAGAATGTCCCAGATTTTCTATGCTTTCTGCAGCTTAGCACACATTGCAACAGTTGCACCACTCTTTCCTTGTACCTGTTTCCCTGTGGCCAGACTTGACAATGCAGACCCATCCTCACTGATATGTACCACTGATCTCATCGATCAACTATTGTAAAATACCCAAATTTCTCACTCTTAAGGGAGTCAACTTAAGCCACTAGTTCAGGTTGGAAGACAAAATATTGGTTTGGTTGTTCTATAAATCATTCCATGCTAGGTATGTAGAGCAAGCACCATGGTAGACAGAGGCCTGATCACATGTTTTCTAAAAGTGGAGAAAAATATCAGACTCAGTAGGAAATACCTATATTTTAGCATGAGAATAAATTGGTTTCTTTAGATTGTAGAGCAGGGACTGGGAGCGAGAGAATATTCCTCATAAATAGTCCATGTTTTTGGCAACACAGAACAAGACACACTGTTTATCTTTAAAATAAAGAAAGAAAAATGTGCATTAGAGTCTAATAGATATGTACTGTAAGGTAAAGAGGTGTGGAAGAGAATTCCAGCAGAAATGGTGGCAGTAGGAAATGTAATGAATTCTAATCTGAAGATTGATTGGCTTATGAAAAGCATGATTTTGTGGCTGTTATGATACAGATTCTTTTATTGCCTGTGTTAGAAAGTGCTCTAACTCACTAATTAAGGTTTAGACATATTCTAGTTTCCTAAATTATCATTATTTATTATGGACAAAGCATTTACTACATTAGGTGATGTTAACCATTTAAAAAAACCAAAAAGAATGTGCACTTTCATTTGACTGCTAAATTTTGAAGTTTGACCCTGATCTTGCAAGAAATTGTGTGAACTTATAGAAATTCAAATAGCTATAATTATTGCAATGGGAACAAACTCAGCATGTTGTGAAGTACATATGGGTTGCAAGGAAATGTGCTATCACCACCTATATTCAAATAAGATTTCATAAGACTGTGTGCTGTTAGCTGATAGAATACTATCCAGCTATTCATTTTACAGAATAACATTCCCAGCAGCTGTCACCATATAAGGGTCTTGAGCTATTCAGTCTGAGCAGAGTGTAGCGATTTGGCAGGAATCACAAATGAGCAGCAGTCGTTGATTTGCTGTGTGGAATATGAATGGCAGAGCACTTTTGAGGGTTAACCCTGAAATGCAGCAGATAATTTGAGAAGGATTTTTAAAAAAATATTTGAACCAGAGACTCTTTCAAAACAATAGATTCTGAAATAGGAATTGCATAGATAAATTATGCATTCAAGTTGAAACATCTCACATCATATAGGAATGTTTTGTCTCTTAGAACAGTGTGCTGAAAGGGAGACGTCAGAAAATGGAGCAGTCAGAACAATCCATATTTTCACATCTAGTTTAGTTTTTCTGCAGCCCTGCCCTAATTATTTAAAACCAGACTACAATGAGGGTGTCTGCCAGTCCCTCTATTTACACCACCTTTAGGTTTTCTGTGCAGACAGTATAAAACTTTGTCACAATGTTCTGTGACTTAGATGCTTGTTTTAGGATAGGTAATTTTGAAGGCAGCTATTGTAAAATCAGCCAAATAAAACTACTTGAAAAATCTGGAAAAATTAATTCTTAAGGTGAAATCCATCACCATGATGCTACCAATAAGCTACTATTAGCACATGCTTTGGCATATGCCTTTCTGAATTTGCAGATGTTGCTAATGCTTCAGAGGTTTTGGGGAGTAGAATGCATAAATAGCAGTTATTGTTATGGCCATTAACTTCTGGGTTTGGAAAGTCTTTTACATTATGATTGAGAACTTTCTTCCAGATGACAGCCAGAGGCAGTAAAAGACAGATAGAATCTTTAGCAAGACAGCACCCACGCATAATTGTATGAAAAATTATGATGACAAAGTTGGACTGTGGATCTCTAATGTGCTGTACTGAAATAAAATTCATTTCCATACAGTTCATGCAGGATACTGCTGTTTGTAGTAGACATCTTTGGAAAGCACAATATACTATCCCTGCATAAGGAGACACTCTTTTTCTGCATGAGTTTTTAAGTTCTTTTCCCTCATAATCTAATCTGGTTTTGAGATATTAAAATAGTTAGCAATATTCTATATTATATCAAGCAATATCAACAATATGGATTTAATACAGCTTCAATTAACAGTTCAGTAAGAACTACATCAGGTCTTTAGCATATTTCTTGACAAGTCCTGACACCAGAACTTACATAAAGATAATTTAAAATAGATTATTTTGCATCATTATATTTTTGACCCATAATTTTAAAATCTGAAATAAATTCATAGCAATTTTACCACAAAGAGTAAATGGGAAAAAGGGTAACTCTTTTTGAATGGCAGGCTCTTGTAATCCAGAACAGGAACAACATAGTTAATGTTAGTAGCTATCAGTCAGCCTGAGCTGATTGAGGCAAGACATTTTGTTCAACTAGCCTCGCTGATTAAAGGCACATTTTCAGTCCACCCTCTAGATGCAAGCTGAAGCAGATAAGAGAGGGAATCATCATAGAATCATAAAATAGTTTGGATTGAAAGTGACTTTAAAAGCCATCTAGTTCCAACCCACCTGCCATGAGCAGGGAGATCTTCAACAAGACTGGGTTACTCAAAGTCTCATCCAAACCAGCCTTGAATATCTCGAGGGATGGAGCATCCACAACTTCTCTGGGCAACCAGTTCCAATGCCTCGCCACTCACTCAGTGAAGAATCTCCTCCTAATATTTAATCTAAATCTACCCATTTTCAGTTTAAAAGCACCACCCCTTCTCCTATAACTATGTGCGATTTAGTAATATGGCAGAATAACTCTGAAAGGGTAGAAAGTCCCTCTCTGAGTTTCTTGTAGGTTCCCTTTAGGGGTCTAAATCCTCATAATGAAAAGCAATTGCTAGTTTCTCTTATTGGGAGATGTTAAAGCACAAATGCCCTACATAGTTCCTTGTACCACTTCATAAGCAAAGAATATAGGATGCATT